TTGAAATGTATTACACTTTTCTCTATTTACTTGAACACCATGCATTTTATTTTAAATTCACTGTCTGATATCATCCATATCTTGAAGCATCTGAAGCATATGTAGGTCAATTTTTATTATTTTGCTTGTCAATTGATGTTCTCCTATTTAGTCCTTTTATTAAGGATGCCTTCTAATATTTTGTTAAATGCCAGGCATTGTGTATGAAAAATAGTTCAGATTCTTTTTATTTTGGGGGTACATGTGTTAACTTAGTATATTCATATAATTTATGAAGATCAAATCAGTGTACTTAGGCTATCTATCATCTTAAATATTTGTCTTTTCTTTATCTTAGAAACATTCAAATTATTCTCTTCTAGCTATTGACATGTACAATTGATTGTTTTCATCCATTAATCAGTTTCTCTTCGCCCCACCCCCCTTTCTCCTATATTTCCCACCTTTGGTAACCACCAATCTACTCTCTATCTTCATGAGATCCACTTTTTTAGCTCTCACATAGGAGTGAGGGCATGTGATATTTACCTTTATGTGCTTGGCTTATTTCACTTAACATTAATGACCTCCAGTTCCACCCATGTTACTGCAAATGACAGCATTTAATTCTGTCTAATTTTTATGAATGAATAATATTCCATTACGTATATACACTACATTTTCTTTATCCATTCATCCACTGATGGGCACCTAGGTTGAGTCTATTTTTTGGCTATTATGAACAGTGCGGCACTAAATAAGGAAAAGTAGATATCTTTTGATCTGTTTATTTCCTTTCTTTTGGATATATAACCAGTAGTGAAATTGCTGGGTCATATGGTAATTCTATTTTCATTTTTAAAAGGCTCCATACTGTTTTCCATAGTGTCTGTATTAATTTGTATTCCAACAACAGTTTATGAGGCTCCCCTTTCCTCACATCCTCTTCGGTATCGCCTTCGGTTATTGCCTATCTTTTTGATAAAAGCCATTTTAACTGGGATGAGATGGTATCCCATTTGATATTGATTTGCATTTCTCTGTTAATTAGCTATGTTGAGCATTTTCTCATATACCTGTTGGCCATTTGTATGTCTTCTTTTGAGAAATATCTATTCAGATCTTTTGCCCATCTTTTAATTGGATTATTATTATTATTATTTGCTATTGAGTTGTTTGAGTTCCTTGCATATTTTGGTTATTAATCCCTTGTCAGATGGGTAGTTTGCAAATATTTCCTCACATTCTGTGGGTGGTCTCTTCACTTTGTCTATTGTTTCCTTTGCTGTACAAAAGCTTTCTAGCTTGAAGTATCCCATTTGCCTGTTTTTGCCTTGGTTGCCTGTGCTTTTGAGGTCTCACGCAGAAAATCTTTGTCCAGATCATTGTCCTAGAATTCCTCAATGTCTTATTCTAGAGTTTCACAGTTTAAGACCTTAGATTTAAGCATTTAATCCACTTTGATTTGATTTTTGTATATAGTGAGAGATAAGAGTCTAGTTTCATTCTTTTGCATATGGATATCCAGTTTTCCCAAAACCATATATCGAAGAGATTGTCCTTTCCTCATTGTATGTTCTTGGTACCTTTTTCAAAGATGAATTGAATGTAAATGAGTGGATTTATACCTCAGTGCTCTATTCTGTTCCATTGTCTATGTATCTATTTGTTGCTAGTACCACGCTGATTTCATTATCACAGCTTTGTAGTAAATTTTTGAAGTCAGGTAGTGTGTGCCTCCAGCTTTGTTCTTTTTGCTCAAGATTTCTTTGGTTATTTTGGATCTTTTGTAGTTCTCTGTAAATTTTAAGATGTTTTTTCTATTTCTGTGAAGAATGTCATTGATATTTTAATAGAGATTGTATCAAATCTGTAAGTTGTTTTGGGTAATATTGCCATTTGAACAATATTAGTTCTTCCAATCCATGAGTATGGAATATCTATCCATTTTTTTGTGTCCTCTTTAATTTTATAGTTTTCCCTATACAGATGTTTCCCTGCTTTGGTTACATTGATTCCTACATATTTTATATTCTTTGTAGCTATTATAAATAGGATTGGTTTCTTGATTTCTTTTTCAGATTGTTCAGTGTTGGCGTATATAACTGCTACTGATTTTTTTATGTTGATTTTGTATCCTTCAACTTTACTGAATTCATTTATCAGTTCTAAAAGTTTTTTTTTGTGGTCTTTAGGTTTTCCTAAGTATAACATCATGTTATCTATAAATGAGGATAATTTGACTTCTTTCATTTCAATTTGGATGTCCTTTCTTTCTTTTGCCTAATTGCTCTGGCCAGGACTTCCAGTATTGTGTTGAATAAAACTGGTGGAAGTGGGCATCTTTGTCTTGTTTCAGATCTTAGAGGAAAGGCCTTCAATTATTGTCATTCAGTGTGATGTTAGCTATAGGTTTGTCATATGTGGCCTTTATTATGTTGAGTTATGTTCATTCTATACTCAGTTTGTTGAAGATTTTTATCATAAAAAATGTTGAATTTTATTGTATGCTTTTTCTGCATCCATTGAGATGATTATATGGTTTTTGTTCTTGTTTCTGGTAATGTGATATATCGTGTTTGTTTATTTGCAAATGTCAAATCATCCTTGCATCCCTGGTATGAATCCCACCTGATCATGGAGAATGATATTTTTAATGTGTTGCCAAATTCAGCTTGCTAGTGTTTTGTTGGGGATTTTTGCGTCCATGTTCATCAGTGATATTGGACTGTAATTTTCTTTTTTGTTGTGTCCTTGTCTGGAATTGGTATCAGGGCGATGTTGGCTTCATAGAATGACTTTGGAAATATTCTTTCTTCTTCCATTTGTTTGAAGAGTTTGAGTAAAATTGGTATTAGTTCTCTTTCCCAGACAAAAAAAAGCTGAGAGAATTTACTACCACCAGACCCATATTATAAGAAATGCTAAAGAGAATTCTT